AGAAATACTTGGCAAGGATGTGGATGAAGGACAAGCTGTAGTAGGGTAGAAGAAGGAATGGACAAAACAACAGGCAAATGGTTCAATGAAGTGTGTTTGCAAGTCTGATCTGTTTGTTGTTGGTGATGATGATGTTTTGGTTGTTCTTCACCATGGAGACAAAGAAGCACAGGCTTTGGGAATATTTCCGTAGCATAACCACTGATATCTTATATGTTCCTTTCCTTTTTCTGTGATGAAAGGTTATAAACATTTAATCTTCATCCATCCCAAGCAAACCAAAGATTCCATGATCATCAGGGAAGTTTCAACCCTGCTCGTGTGCTATGGTCCAGGGTTCTTTAGTAGGAACACTCAGTGGGCCCATGAAGTGACTTTTTGACACTTTTCTACTGCATTCTACTGAGCAGACATTTCTTTTTCATTCTAATTTATTTTTTTTCCTTGTAAGAGCCACCATTTTTTAAATATTAGAAAATTCAGAAAAACTACCTAAATTCCCATCAGCTTGGGACAAACACTTCAATTATTTTGGTAGGTGTGTGTGTGTCTCCACATTTGGGCAAGTGGGTTAAGTGATAGGAGGATCTGATCTCTTCTATCTGGTCTTGTCTATACCTTCTTATTGATGCTCAGGTTTCACTTATCCATGGGCCATGACTATGATATCCCAAATAAGCTGGAGGTTCTGGAAGTACAAATATATTCCCTTGGTGTACGAGGTACTTATTTCTCCTTGTGAATAGATCCCGACTCACATGTCTATTATATTCCCCATCCCCTAAAAACCACTCCATGGAGTTCAGACAAACATCAACTACCTTGTCCTTAGACCAGATCTCAGATTCCTAATGGAACATCTCGCCCATGAACATATCTCTTCATATATACCTCAACCCAGAAGGAATATCTAAAAAGTGGTCCATTTCCATCCTATGGAGCAAAGGGTATAGCACACAAAGAACCCAGCTGCCCAGTGCTAAATACTGACAGGCTCACTCATCAGCTGTATGACCTTGGACAAGTAACTTTCCACCTCTGTAAAATGGGGATATACCAGAACCTAATTCTTGGCATTGTATTGAGGATTCGAAGTGTTCACACATGTTACAGTGTTCCTAACAGTCCTGGCACACAGTAAGCCCTCTCTAAGTATGAGCTCGTGTTAGAGGCTGTAGAGTCGGAGAGAAGAGCAGAAACCAGTTGGGAATACTTCGGTCAGTATCTAAATTCACCAACACAGACCTGTGCTTACTCTCATCTGCATTTCATTTCACTTTATTCTCAGTGACTTCTGATAAAACAAAGCTAAACACAAATCTCCAAGAACCCTTTAACATCAAGGTGGAGATAACACAGAACATTTGAATACTTGGCTCCACTAAACAGGACCAAAATTTCTCTATTTGGGGACCTGGGTTAGTGTCCCAGATTACCCAGGATCTGATCCTTTGACACACTCTCCCTGGTGTCCAGCCAGCATCTTTGGAGACTCATTCCTGCCAGATGTCCAATGGGCTCTGAACTCACAGTGGTGACAACAGCCCGCCCTTGAGGAGCCCTGGGGATTCAGACATGTTCACGGACAGTGGAGGTACAGGGTGGTTAAGCTCGGCCATGGCTGCTAGGTGGAGTAGCAGGGCTCTAGAAGGGGTGGGTTTGAAGAAAGATGAAGATAAAGTGGGAACAACACCTGGTCGGTTGGCTAGCAGAGGGAAGAAAGAACACCCATAATGAGTGTTAGCACAGTATAGAGGGAAGGCTCCGCTTCCAGCGGACAGGGTCCCAAGGCTCACGAGGAGGCCAGGCCCTGTGCCCTGAAGGGTATATGCCAGACTTATTTACATTCAGACATTACTGATACTTTTCTTCATAGGCTGTTTGGAAATGATCTCTTGGAAGGATATCTATTGATCTGAGGAGAAGTAACACTTTTCATTTTAAGGTTTATGGAATATAAAATTTTAGATTTGTTTGGTCCTAAGAGAGACAGAGCCGAGTAAGACAATATTCAGCAACCTTAACCTTCAAATATATTTGACATTTAACAGCATTCCTCAGGAATGGTGATCTGCATTGATGGTCACAAGATATGCCTTGGGAGGGTTAATGCTTATTTTACAACGTTCTTAGTTATTTTATTTAAATGGCGTATCTATCATTTTCGACTCATCCAGCCAGGGAGAGAGACCCAAAGGACTGCACAAGACGATGACTCCCAAAGTTATTCAAGAGTCAAGTTCCGTGACTGTGTCCGAAAAATCAAGTCTAAACCCCCGGTGAGAAATCCTGTCTTTAAATCATGCTTGTTTTCAATCACACATACTTTAAATCATGGTTTTTTGTTAATTTCTATTTTCCAAAAATATCCAATGCGAGTTGACAATATACATGACCTGCCTCCTATTGCTGTGAGAATGCAAGAAAAAAGTATGAGAAATAATTCCTACTTTCTTTCTTTTTTTTTTAAATATATTTTATTGATTTTTTACAGAGAGGAAGGGAGAGAGATAGAGAGTTAGAAACATCGATGAGAGAGAAACATCAACCAGCTGCCTCCTGCACATCTCCTACTGGGGATGTGCCCGCAACCCAGGTACATGCCCTTGACCGGAATTGAACCTGGGACCTTTCAGTCCGCAGGCCGACGCTCTATCCACTGAACCAAACCGGTTTCGGCAACAATTCCTACTTTCAAAATCCTAGAAGCTAGCTTGATTTGGGGCAGGGAAATGCATTAAGGGCAGGAAAGATATTTGTTCAGCTCTGACACTGCACCCGCTTTCAATATGGGGAAAAAGGGACACTAACTCAAGATGAACCAAAGCTTTACCCCCCTCCCCCCCCCAAAAAAATGGTCTTTAAAAAAAAAGGCTAACAAATCTTGTATTGCTCATGATTAAATAAAACCATCTCAGCATTGGCCTATAAAACAATGAATCCACTTTTTGGCATTTTAATAATCCTTTTTAAAGCTTTTACTGCTATTGATAATATATTTATGTGCTTGTGGGAGTGTAAATAAGAGCCCGTTTACAAAAAGTAACTCATTAAAGGTACTTATTAAAGGAGGCCACCAGCTGCCTGTTGCCCTTGTTACAGCTCATTACCAGTAGTCGCGGACCTTCAACAGAGGTAATATGCCTGATGCCATTAGCATGGAGCCCACTCCCAAGGAACAGTGCACAGCTCACTGCAGCTTATAAACCCTGACATTCTGTTGCTCTCTGCTTCTCCTCAGCTTCCGCCTGGCTTCCCTTCTGCCGAAGAAGCCTATAACTTCTTCACCTTCACCTTTGATCCCGAACCAGAGGAACTGGAGGAAAAACCAAAAGCAAAACATAGAGAGGGAGCCAATCAAGAGGAGGCGGAAGGAGAGGAGGAAGGGCCACCTGTTCAAGGAGTAAACAAAACGGTATTTAATATTTTGATGGTGATGATGATGATGGTAATGACAATGAGGACCACAATGATGATGAGGATGATGAGGATAAGGATGATGAGGAGGATGAGGATGAGGATGTTAATAAGGAGGAGGAGGAGGAAGTGGATGACAATGATACCCTAGCCAGGAAGAAAGTGGCTGAAGGCAAAACTGCCACCGCCACACAGAACAGCTCATCCATGTCTTGGGTGAAAGAAAAGGGGTATTAGCTTCACATAACCTTCTGTAGCCTTTGATTTCACCCCGCAATTTGGGTAATGAGGGCCTTGAATTAAATCTGTCCATTTTCTGTGGAGAAAGAAAAAAAAGCAGAACAATGTGGCTTGCAGATTTTTCTTGCCCCCACAACCTTACAGGCAAGCAGCTTTTTGTGCTCCGTGCCACACCCAAGCTACAACTCAGATTCCCTAATTGTGAGTGGTATGTGTGCCATAAAAGAGAGCATGCCTGTAAAAGTGTGTAAAGGACTTACCCGGCTGGTGTGGCTCAGTGGTTGAGCGTCAACCTATGAACCAGGAGGTCACAGTTCAATTCCCCAACAGGGCATACACCCGGGTTGTGGGCTCGAGATCCCCAGTGTGGGGCATGACCTCCTGGTTCACAGGTCGATGCTCAACCACTGAGCACACCGGCCGGGCAAAACATGCCCTTTGAAGTCATCTGCATGTGAAGCCCTCTCCGGTAGTCCACGCTCTGGCCTGTCCAGACCTTTGTTCGTATTTTCATACTGAAAGTGGACTTAGTCTTCCTGGTGGGAGTTTTAGATCAACTAGAGGCCCTTTCATTCACTTCCTTTTTCTGTCTTTGCTGCAGTTTTTCCCAGTCTTTGGTCTTTGCTCGTCACAAGCAGAGGTAGGGCAGAAGCAAGAAACATCCTTCCGTTTTTGAGGTGTTTGGCATTCTCTGTCTTCAAGTTATGCTGAGAGCTTAGTTACCACGCAGATTTACTTTTCCTTTCTTATTGTTTTGTATGTTTGGGGAGGAAATATTAGGAGGCTGGTAGCTGGGCAGCCGCAGTGTCTTCAGCTCCCTGCACGTCTCCACAGGATTTTAAAAGGTGTTGCTGTTTTGTTTTGTTTTAAAGCCTTGATTTTTATAAAGGAGAAAGTAAGAGGAAAAGGAGAAGAGGAAGAAAGAGAACAAAAAGGAGAACACGTGTGAAAAATCCTCAATTATGCAAAATTAACATGCTTCCACTAATATTTATAATTGCAGGTCCTGTGCTTAAGATTTTTAAATGGGCCATTTAATTCTATCCTCACAAAACCCTAAGAAGTCATCTCTATTAATGTACCCATTTTACAACTGAGAAAACCAAGGGTCAGAAAAGTAGACAAGATCCCTGTGGCTGGGACTCCAGGCAGTCTGAGCAGAGTGTGTGGACCCTACACTTGTGCATTTGCCTGGGGTGGGTGCCAGGTGGAAGCTTAAAATGCTACATAACTTGTGAGCACATGTTCTTTAAATAAGTGTCAACCTTCCAAGGAGGCCAGAGTTGTTGAGGTTTCATAGATTCCCTTAGCACGTCTCTTCTGACTTCAGCCGGATCTGATTTTGACATTTGCCAAGCATAGGAAATAGTGAAAAACAAAGAAAATCTGCTTGGTAAATATGAAAGGCCATGTAGCTTTATGCTTTTGTTTAAATAAATAAACAAACAAATAAGCAAATAAATAAGTAGGTAATACTATTGTAGGTTGTGTTGTTTGGTGAGTTGAATATCATAGATTCTTTTTTTCTATATAAACTGATCTTCTTAGCATGATTTTTGTTGTCATTTTCTTAACGCCATGCAGGATGAGGAAGCGCTGCTTAATGGCAGAGATGCTGAGCATTTCCTATTGGGCTTAGATCACGGGGCTGAAGATTTCGTGGCAGTGAGACCTGCCTATTATGAAAGTGTCCACATTCGGCTGCAGAAGGAGAAAGAACTCCTATTCATACCCAGTAGGCTGACAGGTACTGGCTCTTTCTGTCTTCCCGCTCACCTTCCTTTTCCTTCAGTGACAGAAGGATGATGGTGTCTAAGGACGCCAGATCTCCGTCACTGATCCCAGGTTTTAATCTGATTTCATAATCAAGAAATAGCTCCACACAAACACACCAAAAAAAAAAAATGTAGAACATGGAAAAATATCCACTGAACAAGCTATTATGAACAGAATCACAGAAGAAATCCCAGAATGCCATGGGAGCTCCTTCATCATATCAGTGACCATCGCTGGGAGCTCTGAGAGTCAGGCTATGAAAAGGAACAACTGTGTTTCACCCTCTACTCACACTCAGTGCTTCTAGAACAGTCCTGTGACCAGATGTGTAGGTTTTTACTTACACCAACCAATCCTCCCATGCCAGCTAGGTGTCCTACGATTCAATCCTGCTCTACCTACCAGTGGTGAGTACAGACCCCACACAGTAAGAGCTCAGTCCCACAAGACTACCCACTACTTCAGACAGCAATTGCCAAATAGCATGTCCCCAGGCTACACACAATTTTACTCGACTTTGCTGCAAATCAGGGGTTCCCCTGACTCCCTCTTCAGGTTTGATAACTAGATATAACAGCGCATAGAACTCAGGGGAGCACTTCTATTTATTGGTTTATCTATAATAATAAAAGCATAATATGCTAATTAGACAGGACAGCCAAATGACCTTCCAGATGACCTTCTGGACGAAGCTGGGACTTCGAGGGCCGAGGCAAGCCATCGCGGCTGTGAGGGCTGAGCACCTTTCACAAATTTCGTGCATCAGGCCTCTAGTTATATAATAAAGAACATAGAGCTCACAGGTGAAGAGATGCTGAGGGCAAAAGGTGTGTGTCACCAACCAGGAAGCTCTCCAAAACTGATTAATTACATCACTGCCGCCAGTGATTAATTCTATCTTTGGTTCCTCTGTCCCTCTTTTCTCCCAGAGGTGGGAGTGGAGGGAGTGGGTGATGAAAGCCCCAACTGTCTTCTCACATGATTGGTTCCCTGGACACTGCACTAATCCTGAGACCATTCAGGAGTCTTCTCATTAGTATACAAAAGGCTGGACAGTTAGCACTTTGGAGAGTCCAAGGGTTTGAGCAGCTGTGTGTTTGGAAGCAGACTGGGGGAGTTCCTTGGGGTGGGGAGTGGCCAGGGTACTGGAGCAGACCCTCTGATTAACCCCTCATACTGCTCCTTTCACATACTTGTAGGTATTGAATGTTTTCATCTCTACAACATGGTATTGCAAGTAAATGCATTCGTCTTCTCCTTTGTTCTGCTTTGAGAAATTAATTTGGAAAACAGGCCTTTTTCTAAGAACAGAAAGGAAATCTTTGGGGGGAGGTTGCTTTAATTCCTCACAAGGCAGTTGGAAACGTTAGGTGGGCACTAAAGTGGCTGCATTTCTCTGTGGACTGTCTAGTGCCCACGTATAAGAAGCTTCCTGAGAACGTGCAGCCCAGGTTCCTGGAGGACGAAGGACTATACATTGGAACCAGGCCCGAGGTGCCGCGGGCCACGCAGAATATCATGGAGAACAGGCTGCTGGTGCAGGAGTCCGTAAGCACACCCCCCTCCCAGCGTCGCCCCGAGTGACCCAGGGGATCCCTTTTTCCACAGGGCAGTCACTGCACCACCCAACTCATTTCCCCTTGGGGGTGTCCATACACAGCCGTTTAGTTTTTTGTGACTTGCCTCAGAATGTTTCATGATCTCAAGCGGCACACACTCTCACTGCTGAGAAAACATCTTCTGCCAGCTGCATTCCGGCTTCTGTAAATCAGATGTTGGCAACAATTTCCCAATTCATAGAAATAAATGTTCAAAGATCCAAGATAGAATGTTCTCTATTGCTTTTCTCCTTTTTTTAATTTTTAATGAATAGAATACAAAATTTTCCATAGCAATTATTACAGCTTTTTCTTTAGGTTTTTTTTATTTTTATTTTTTGCAGGTGGGGTGGTGGTGAGGACTATATCTTAAATTAATTGTAGGGGGCATTAGTGAAGACTCAATTTCTAATGGAAACAGAGACTGTAGAAGATCTACTGGGGAAGAGGGAAGGTACATAGATGTGTATGTGGACCCGGAATTTCCCTGCAAACATTATTTATTTTGTAAACCATTTCTGTCCAATGAGAAGAAAATGTTCTTCCCTCTGCCTGCTCCCCAGGACAGAAGGTGGTTCGGAGATGACGGCAGAATCCTAGCCCTGCCAAACCCCATCAGGCCTTCCCCTTCCCGGCCGCCAGCCTTGACCCAGGAGCAAAACATTCATGCAGAGCTCGAAACGCTGTATAAGAAGGTAAACCTTCCTCTCATTTTTAATAGGTGCCTTTGCTTGAAAGTGTTTGCTGCTTGGATCACTTGGAGTACTGAATTCGTGGTGTTCTACTTTGATTTATTTTTTAAATAATTTACATCTTACACATAAAGAACAGACAGCAGGCCTGTTTACAAGGGAGTCCACTGTGCTCACCTAATCCCTTCTTGCTGGCTGGAATGTAGATGTGATTACTGGACCTCAGGCACTCATCTTGGTCCTGGAGGTCACAAGACAAGGGTGCTC